TGTGAGCTGAGCTCTGTGTGTGTGAGCTGAGCTCTGTGTGTGTGAGCTGAGGGTTCTGTGTGTGTGAGCTGAGCTCTGTGTGTGTGAGCTGAGCTGAGGGCTCTGTGTGTGTGTGAGCTGAGGGTTCTGTGTGTGTGTGTGAGCTGAGCTGAGGGCTCTGTGTGTGTGTGAGCTGAGCTCTGTGTGTGTGTGAGCTGAGGGCTCTGTGTGTGTGAGCTGAGCTCTGTGTGTGTGTGAGCTGAGCTCTCTGTGTGTGTGAAGCTGAGCTCTGTGTGTGTGTGTGTGTTTGTGAAGCTGAGCTGTCTGTCTGTGAGCTGAGATGTCTCTGTGTGTGTGTGTGAAGCTGAGCTCTCTGTGTGTTCATGAAGCTGAGCCCTGTGAGCTGAGCTCTCTGTGTGTGTGTGTGTGTGTGTGTGTGTGTGTGTTTGTGGAGCTGAGCTGTCTGTGAGCTGAGATGTCTCTGTGTGTGTGTGTGTGAAGCTGAGCTCTCTGTGTGTTCATGAAGCTGAGCCCTGTGAGCTGAGCTCTCTGTGTGTGCGTGTGTGAGCTGAGCTGTCTCTGTGTGTTTTAAAGCTGAGCTCTCTGTGTATTTTAAAGCTGGGCTCTCTCTCCGTCTGTTTTAAAGCTGGGCTCTCTGTCTCTGTTTTAAAGCTGAGCTCTCTCTCCGTCTGCTTTAAAGCTGAGCTCTCTTAAAGCTGAGCTCTCTGTCTCTGTTTCAAAGCTGAGCTCTCTCTGTTTCAAAGCTGAGCTCTCTCTGTTTTAAAGCTGAGCTCTCTCTCTGTTTTAAAGCTGAGCTCTCTCTCTCTGTTTTAAAGCTGAGCTCTCTCTGTTTCAAAGCTGAGCTCTCTCTCTGTTTTAAAGCTGAGCTCTCTCTGTTTTAAAGCTGAACTCTCTGTTTTAAAGCTGAGCTCTCTCTGTTTTAAAGCTGAGCTCTCTCCGTTTTAAAGCTGAGCTCTCTCCGTTTTAAAGCTGAGCTCTCTCTCTGTTTTAAAGCTGAACTCTCTCCGTTTTAAAGCTGAGCTCTCTC